AGTGTCCCGTCACTACCGCATTATCTCTTAAGGGCGGATTCCTAAAGTACTTTGTATAAGAAAATCCTAATACAAAAATGGCGAGGCTATAATAATTTTCAAATTATAAACGATTAAATTTGACTAATTATACTGGCTAAAGTACAACGCACAGCGGCACAGGTACATGCACATGTCGTCCCTTTTCCAAATATTGATACGGAAGTTTTATATATACAACAATATATGTAATAATAATCTGCGTTTTCTATCATTTAAATAAATATATCGCAAATAATAAAAATTTCGTCAAAATGTTATGAAAATATCACACAATACATTTATGAGAATTAGTAAGCTCACACATTTGACGTTTCTTTCAGGGATTTACAACTAATTTCATATCTTATGCAAATTCTCACTTGCGCATGCACCTGTACCATTGTGTATTGTGGGTGTATATCAGTTGGACACGGGGCAATTGGACACAGTCCAATCACAAGTCGCTGTTCCAAGGGACCCTACAAATGTCTCTAATCATACGGTGCTGTGATTGGCTGTGTCCAAATGTACCGTGTCCAAGTGCACCGCTCCCGTGTGTTGTACCGTATCTGAGTGCGCGTACTTTAGCCAATATAATTGGTCAACTTTAATTGTTTATAATTTGAAAAGTATTATAGCCTCGATATTTTTGCATTAGGGTTTTTTTCTTCAAATTACTTCAGGAATCCGTCCTTAAGAGATAATGCGGTAGTGGTGGGACACCCTATATATAAAATATATAGAAACATATTTTTATAACTATAATTTGTTAACACTTCCAGATGCGTCCGTCTTATTAAAAGTGCTAAACGTGCAAAGAGTACAAGCATTACGAATACAACTGAGATCATATAAGACATGTTCTTTGTAGCTGCACTGCTGAACTGGTACAATATTGAAGTGAGACAAATAAATACGTTTTCTCACTCTAGCTTATTGCACTCTAGTTCAGCAGTGCAGCTACAAAGAACAGGCCTATATATATCACATTTGCGGAAGTTGCGTAATTAATGGCGGCACCAATCAGAGAAGAGAACATGATCCGCTCCACTCTGTCTAGATTCTCTCTGCAGTCGTTGTCTTCTTTCTCATTCTACGTTGACATTACGTCTTGGACCTAGTACTCGGGCTGTGTTTGCTTTGGGCGCTTACGCGCTGTAAGCGTCATCCTATCTTTATCGTTTATTACATGCGGGAAGAAGATAGAATGATGCCTATAGCGCATAAGCGCTAAAAGCGAACGCAGCCTCGGTTTATTCTTACTATGTCTATGATTCTACAAGACGTTTTTTATAAAATTTTGCATATAATTATTTTTGACATCGCTAAACACGAATCTGAGATCGAAAGTAGAAAACTCTAAATAGCGGATCTAATATGGGGACAAAAACATATCACAAAATTCAGTAAATTGGCGAATTTCTCTGTAAAGCACAGTAGGGTTTTTTAAGTGACAGAAAATAAATTTGGATTCAAAATTGGAAAACTAGAAATGGCAAATTCAATGGTGGATTAAAAAGACGAAAATTCCAAATGATTAGTGGATTTCTCTAATATTCCGTATTACATGGTTTTTAGATTTTTAAATATTTATCAGCTAAAAATGCGGAAATAAAAATATTATTTCGATATTTTGCTATGTGAAATTGGACGATACAAAATAGCATCATAATAAAATTGTTAAGTGCTTGTTACCTGCAATTAAGTGCCTATTATTAATTTGGAAAAGTCGTCAAAATGGATTTACCAAAAAAATTTTTTAATTTTGACCTCAAATTTGTATTCAGCGATCTTTAAAACCCTCTAGTTTTTTTAAAACTCACTAATTTATTTAATTGTTATTGAATTTTTTGTCAACACGTGTATAAACGTACTCCACAGTGAAGGGGTTAATTACTCGTATAATACAATAATATAACAAAAAAATACAGCTTATAGTTAATACCGTAATATCGTATATTAAACTCCAGACTTGTTTCAGAAACCTGTACACAGGATACCAATACACCACAGGATAATAAGGAAAAGCGCCGAAAATAACAATAAATAAAGTATAACCCTCAATCTTGCTCGTAAATGTAACTATAATTATAAATTGTAAGGAAACGAACATATAAGACACTTTGAACGAGGAGGAAAAAGCAATAATACAGTTTATAGAATCATGTTAATAGAAAAATTTGCGATGTGTATAACAATAGAGAAACATAGTAAATACATATCGTAATTACTGAATTGCTTACATAAAATTCACGAACAACGTCCGATGTATGTTCTGCTTAATTAACGCAAAATTGTACGAGTCATGTTGGAAAATATACGGACCATTCTATCGTAACAATTTTTATCATAATTAATTAAATATATTTAATTATTTTGGAGCAGGAGGTCAATTGTGTATTTCAAAATGGGGTGAAAATTACAAAAGTGATTACAAATTCACTAGGTATTGATCGATGAAGTTACAAATATTCTAGTAAATTTATTCACTTTTGTCATTTTCACTCCGTTTTCAGATACACAATCGACCCCTTGCTGTAGTCCGACATACCCTTATAGAAATATCATACTAAGAATCATTGATAATTACTTATTATCCAGTATTTTTAATACTGAAAATAAGTAATTATCAATGATTCTTAGTATGATATTTCTATAAGGGTAGACCACAACGTGATCGACTTGTAAATGACGCTTAATGACATGACTCATATGGCGCATTAATCTGAAGATCAATATAATTACATACATACACTATACAATTTTTACCATTATACGAATTTTTTATAAAATTTGAAATCATATATGCATTCCGAATTTTGTTTAAAGTAACAAAGGACTTTGCACAATTCTTACGAGAAAACGGTTTTCAATCTTTGCTTGAACTTGTTATATTTTGTAGTCCTTGCAGTCCTGATAAAAAATCGCAATAAGTAGAAACCTTGTACATGGCTAGTGTTTTAATTAAAAACATTTAAAAGTTTTTTTTGTCGAATCTATCCGCACATTTGCCTATAAGAGTTTGTGCTTGTGTGCTTGCTCGCACACACACACACATACATATACATATTTATACACCCTTATATAAGTATCATACTAAGAATCATTGATAATTACTTATTATCCAGTATTTTTAATACTGAAAATAAGTAATTATCAATGATTCTTAGTATGATATTTCTATAAGGGCATACAGATTGTCTCAAAACAATCTACGAAGCTCTCGTGAGAACGTAGACCGAGTTAAAATAAACATAAATGTCCTATATCATTTTACGATATTCGTAATAATAACCAAAAAATTGATTACGAAAGATTAAGGAAAGCGAGTGAAGTAGAGGACAGACCGCTCGAGCTATATCGCAGCCCAGTAATATAGCGCGCGGATGTCACGCGTGGCGATTAGAAGACAACGTATCACTGCTTATACTTATACCGCTGCGTCTCTACGTCTTGTTGCACCGCGCTGAGGCAAGATGTAGGAGCACAGATGTACAAGTATACGCAGTGGTGCATTGTTTTCCAATCACCACGCGCGACATCCGCGCGCTATATTACTGGACTGCGCTGTGACTCGAGCGGTCCGTCCTCTACCATTCAGCACACGTTTTTCCTTAATCTTCCGTAATTAATTTTTCGATTATTATTACGAATATCGTAAACCAGTATAGGACTTTTATGTTTATTTTAACCCAATTTACGTTCACACGAGAACTTCGTAGATTGTTCTGAGATACCCTGTATATGAATATGTATATATTCATATATATATATATATATATATATATATATATATATATACACATCAAATAAACACAAGTATGCAAACTCGTGTAGGTAAACGTACAAATGTTTTTAATTCAGAAACTAATCGTACAAGAGTCTATCGAGATTTTTTATTAGGATTGTAAGAGCTACAACATATCACAAATTCAAATAAATTTACTGGAAATAATTTTCTAATAAGAATCATGCGAAGTCCTTTGTACTAGTAAGGTCAGTACGTGGTAACGTCATCATTCGTTTTTATAGGTTATAATATGTAGTAAGTATACAAAAATGACACATGTATCCGAGCTTCTTGTATCAGATGCTTTGATATTCGATACATTGAGAACTCGTTTTCGTTATGAATTTATTATGTTAAAGCTAATCAGATTCAATGATGACTTCACTGTACCTTTTTTTATATCTTCGATTGTAACGTAAAATGCGTAAAATATTTTATCTGTTGACTGTATTAATATATTATCAGTATTATAATAATAAATAATGCGTATTGCAGTTTTAATAAAAGAGTACTACCACATAAGCAAACACACTACTACGATTTATTAATTATCATGGAGACTTCTGAAATAGATTCTATCGAAATATTTGCAATTTAGATATTATTCGTCTATTTCTAAATTTATAGAATTTCTTGGATTTATAGGAAGTTTATATGTAAATATAAAACGCGTAATAATAATATATTATTACTAATTTTGGGATCAGGTGTACGGATTCGCTATGTTCCCAGGTAACAGGTAGTCGTCATAATAACATGATTCTTATGTCAAATTTTACATCATTTATACCTAAAATTAACCTAAAAACGATGTCTTTATAACGGTTCTAAGTCACAGATTGGAGACGTCATTAAATAACGTCAGGAAGACGTTACTTTAATTGTCACAATGACTTAAGTAAAATATACCCAGAACAGTAGCAGAGTGACGTCTATCTGATGAGGAATGAATGATCAAAAAGATATCGATATGATATCAAAATGGCAAGATTAATCTGAAATCGATTTTTACATTGATTCGATCATCTGGTGATCACAGTTTCGATCTCTCCTTACAGAAATATACTGAAAATCATTGATTAATTACTTATTTTCAGTATTAAAAATGCAGTGTTTATCCAGCAAACACAGATATATAACAGTAGTTACATTGCCGTAATGAAACGGAATGTAATATGTAATATAACATGTATGTACCCAGATAGCCAAATCTGCGCGAACAAATTTCGAGCAGAGCTTGCTATCAACTTTTGATGGCAACCCTTATAGAAATATTATACTAAAAATCATTGATAATTACTTATTATCCAGTATTTTTAATACTGAAAATAAGTAATTATCAATGATTCTTAGTATGATATTTCTATAAGGGAAATAGATAACAAATTTGATGCAGGATCTGTTATATCAAATCTTGCTGCCAAATTGCCGCCAGATTTGTGGCAGAGCTTGTTGTCGGATAATTGTTGCAGATTTGCAGCAAAAACCGCGCAGAGCTTGTAGCGATTTGACGGCAGATTGGCAGCAGAAACCGCGCAGACCTTGCTGCGCTGCAAGCTTTGCGCGGTTTTTGCTGCAAATTTGGCACCAATTGTCCGACAGCAAGATCTGTCGCCAAAACTGTAGCCTAATGTAGACACAGATGGCTATGGTTTTGCTGTGGGTTTTTGATCAAATTTACTGCCAATCTGCACGCAGTTTGCGCTCAGTTTGCTTACTGGATAGTAGGTTATATAAACATTTGTTGTAATTTCCTACTCACACGTGTTACAGTTATACAATGTGAATATAACATAAAAGTAACATGTGACTAAAAAGTTATATAAGAGTTATATGTTATTTGTTAGCAAATTAATACATATACATATATTTTTTTGTTGAATTCCAACGATTTATTCATTAGTATGGTTCAGATAAGTAATATGAGTGTATGATTATTTTGTCTAAATAATAAAAAAAAAACTGACATTTCATATTCCGTATTATTTCAATTATTCGTGAAACTCGCGTGGATTCGATCCTATGTCAGACGGTCTCCCATTTTTAGATCATGTTGTTTAATGCTTCTCAGCAAACACAGATATATAACTGCAATATTGCCGTAATAAAACAGAATGTAACAGGTAATATAACATGTTCGTTGCATGCAACATCTATGTTAGTAATTTTTTCCCACTCATTGTACATTGCAGTTATATTATTTAAATATAACATGTAACGAAAATATTATATAACTGTAATGTGGTTACAGAAATGTTATATTACAGTTATATAAATTGTTTAAATGTTATGTAGGTACAATATAAGTTATTTTACTGTTATATAATTGTTATTAAATTAATTATATTACTGTTATATACGAAATATATATTTTTTAACACGTATAATTTCCAGGAATATCAGACTCTCTTGAATTAATAATTTAAATAAAACTAATCGAAATTGTATGAAAAAAAAACATTTCGTTTAATTTTATTTAAAATCAATTCAAGAGAGTCTGATATTCCTAGAAAATTTTATCATAAAAAAATGAAAGAAAGAAAGGAAACAAATAATGACAATATTTAATATATCTTTTTAATAATAATATGAAACATATATATAGTATGGAATATTATAATTATTATAATAATAACTTTGCATATTATATTAATATTTACCATAATTATAGTTTAACGTAATATTAAATATAATATTATACTAAAAATATAAGGTGTAGTAAAAAGAAATCCATTATTTTTCCAATAGATGGCTTTAGTAATGTGTATCTCGCGTTGTATAAGTGCGATCGGTTAGAAAGACAAGATTTCGTACTAAAAAAACTTCTCAGACGGTTTTGTGATTGTTTGACTTAGTATTGTTTGAGCGCGTGTCAAAGATGGACACCAGCAAAGAGAAAATACGCCATATTTTACAGTTTTTCTTCGATAAAGGGGAAAACGCAAGCCAGGCGACTGAAAATGTGAATAGTGTTTATGGTCCTGATACTGTAACAGCCAATCACGCGCAATTTTGGTTTCGTCCATTCCGTTCCGGTAATTTTGATGTCAAAGATGCACCACGCTCTGGCCAATTGTTGAAAATGTCGATAAAATAATAGAAATCGTCGAGTCCGACCGTCATGTAAGCACTGTTTCGATTGCCCAGGAGGTAAACATTGCACAAAAAACCGTTTGGAACCACTTGAATAAGGCTGGATACAAAAAGAAGCTCGATGTATGGGTGCCACACGAGTTAATACAAAAAAACCTCATGGACCGAATTTCCATCTGCGAATCGCTGCTGAATCGCAACAAAATCGACCCATTTCTGCAGCGGATGGTGACTGGTGATGAAAAGTAGGTCACTTACGACAACGTCAAGCGAAAACGGTCGTGGTCGAAACGCAGTGAGCCGGCGCAAACGGTGGCCAAACCAGGATTGACGATCAGGAAGGCTTTGCTGTGTGTTTTGTGGGATTGGCAGGGAATTATCCACTATGAGCTGCTCCCCTACGGCCAAACTCTTAATTCGGATCTGTACTGTCAACAATTGGACCGTCTGAAGGAATCAATCGCCCAGAAGCGGCCAGCTTTGGCCAATAGGAGAGGAATTGTGTTCTATCAGGACAACGCCAGGCCACACACATCGATAGTGACTCGTCAGAAGCTCCGGGAGCTTGGTTGGAAGGTTCTTATGCATCCACCTTACAGTCCGGACTTGGCACCAAGTTATTACCATCTGTTCCTGTCTATGGCGAATGATTTTGCTGGTGAAAAATTCGCCTCAAGAGAAGCTTGTGAAAATCGACTTTCCCAGTTTTTTGCCAATAGGGACAAGGATTTCTGTGAGAGAGGCATAATGGAATTACCTTCAAAATGGCAACAAGTTATCGAACAAAAGGGTGCATATTTGACCTATATCGGATCATTCTAACTATGCTAAATAAAGCCTTCAATTTCATGCAAAAATAATGGATTTCTTTTTACTACACTTTATATATAGTGCAAATCCGTTGCGATCGTGATAATTATAAGCATGAAATACTTTATTCGATAAATGTGATTA